TTGTATTGGTTTTTCAAATGTTTTCCGAGTTAATAGAGACAAAATTCCCGGTTTTTGAAATTTTAGGTCATTACTGCGAATTACGTACCGGTGTCTTCCTATCATGAATTGTTCCCTGATGCAGTCATTGCTCGCAATATCCTAACCCCAAAACCTCAGGAAGCGACAGCTACTGTAAGTTTTTTGAAGTTCGTGCTTAATTCAGGAGCTTTTGCAACACTTCCCGGCCGTAGATAGCTGGGTAGAGCAACCAACCTGGCCAGCGACTGCCACAGATCGCTCTCGATTAAGAAATGAGCTGGCTTCTCATTTACAGGCTCCAATGTCGAGCTTCACTGTGCCGCCTCCTCCAATGTCCGGTTACGGTGCACCTCCTCCTCAGCCAGGATTTTACTGATTGTTACGTCCTCCTTGTTATGAGTTCTTATATTTTAACTTGTTTCTTTACCCGAGGAGATTTGTTCTTGGATGTAATTACAGAGGTAGTAGTTATGAGATGATGAATTCAGCCGTTGTGGCGCCCTTGTTCGTGATTTTGGTATGTTTTCGTGTACTGTTTTGTTTATAGTATACTATTTTTCATTGGTTATACTATGATAGTAACGTTTCCATGAAGTGTCGTTACTCCTTGTTCCTTTGCCCATGGTCTCTTGTTGTAATGAATGTGGTTAGATGAAGTGTATTTTTTTCATCAAGATATTAGAAGAGTTGGGTGTTTCGGGGGTAGGGATATATTATTTATCATGAATTCAGGAATAGGTTTGATTTCTACTGGGAACTTATACCTGTTTCCAATAGTAATCGTTCGTTCGCACTTCGCGGTATAGTTCGCAATCCAGGTGATTTGAACACCGAAGTTGAAGTGGTGGCTAGAAGTGCCGCAAATGTAATGTATTCTTTTGAGACCAAACAGTTTTCGTACGCATTAAAGACCTCGCTATAGCTGGTTCTACCTAGCGGCAATACATTTTGAAGAAGGAAATTTCTGTACCCTAGGTCCCAATTACCCTCAAAGGACTTGATCAACGGTGAACGCCTGATCGCTTTAATTGTTAATGCTGGAAAGTGAATTAAAGAAGCACTTCGAACTCATTGTGATAATGTTGGTACAACTTTTCTTCAGGTCGGCTCTCATGGATTGTGACCTCTGACCGCGTGCTTATCACGCGCTTGGTCGACGGTCAACTCATTGGGGACCAGTACGCCAGTACAACGCTATTTTTAGACTCTTCTCTCTATTGGTTCCGACTAAGCATCGTGTTATCTCAAGCCAGCGCTGGCGGTCTGAGGTCAAATCGCTGAACAGTCAGCGCAGTCGCAGGCTTATTAGGCTCTCTCCATTGGTTCCGAGTCAGTTAATTGCCATCAGTTCTCTAGGAGGAAAAACCACTAGCAGTTCATCAGCACTTTCTTGCAATTCGTTTGCTGACAAGTCGCATTGAAGCGCTACACGATTCTGAATGATAGGGAAATGCGCGGCGCATCTCAAAAGGGACTGAGCTACCCGATTGCCTTAGCATGTATCAGTGCTTCCTTTGATCTACGAGTGCGTTGAAGTGATATTTTACAGTGCCTGGTAAGTCAAAAGTAAATGTAAATGAAATTAATACAAAGAATGTAACAAATTAATTGGAGGGGGTTTTTTTCAAAGAAGTAGTTTGTCTTCCGTTTCGCACGTGCCCTTATACGGAAAACAAACTGACACCGATATCCTCCCCCGTGCTCTTCAGTAAGGAAGGGAGGTAAAAGAATTGGAGTGTGTATATTATAGTCCTCTGTTAAGCCTAGATCAGCGATCCACGCTTTTCTAAGCCAACGTGAGTCTTATTGGTGCGTCATAGCGAATCGAAGAAATTCTTGAACATTTGGTCCTGAATCGAGCGTGTAAGGTTAGTGCAGACCCCCTCCCATCTCCAACTTTCAGTGACAGTCGAATGTGGAGCTCATTCGAATATATGATATCATCTATGATCTTAATTATTTTATTTTTTTAGAAAAAAATACGTTCTGTTCACTTTTTGTCACATCCTCTCTTCAAAAAAAAAGTGGGTACCTCCTCGTAGCTTTCGATTCGAAAATTAAAAACACTTCGGATAATTTTACAGGATTCTTCAAAGCAAAGGTTATTCTTTATTCACTCGAGATTACATTAAAACCGACGAGTTGATTTTTCTCCTGATGTCTGATGTTTCAATACATTTTTGGTGCGCAGCAAACACATTGTACGGCCTTTTCACTTTTTTCCTGAAAAAAAAAGGAAATTAGTCAAATACAAAGTGATTCTGAAGGTTAAGGGAACAGCAACACGCCTGTTTACCGTAATGACCCTAAAATTTAACGGTCGATTCTTGGGTAACTCTCCGTGACTCGTTATTGAACAGTATTTCGCTCGATAGATCAGAACCTATAAAAAAAAAATTGTTTACTTCGACGTAGTATGGAATTCATAAATGAAAACTTTCCCAGGATGCTGGTATGGACCTCAACCAATTTCACACTTACGAGGGTCAAATTTTGGGTTGACCTGGGCTCTCCATTTTTCTCCGAGATAAATTCCCTTCAGTTGGGTTGTCTGGGGCGACAAAAACAATAATTTCAGCTATCATGCTGAATGCTGAGTTGTGGGCAAAACTTCTGCCCAAACCGGGGCAGCGAATCGGTCTCTTGCTTTTCCAAATCGGCGAGTCGCTACCAGTTAAAAGGCAAGAGTTCGGAGTACGAATTCTGCTGGGGCGAATTTTTTGCCTACAACTCAGCATTCTGATAACATTCGCAACGCGAACTGCGGCATAATGGTGTATGTTACCCTATAAAAATAAGTCAAAAATAATAAATCCAGCAACGACTGCCACCCGCACGTCATCACGTAAGTCCAACCCTCATTCCAATGATCGCGCTGAACGGATTACCCATTTCTGCCAGATTATTTTTTTTATCTTTTCGTCATTTTCATGGATCAGTGCAGCCCTTTGTATACTATGAGCTACATGCCAAGGTTGAGAAATGATCTTCACACGAGATAGACCAACCTCGGGACGGATCGGGAAGAACGCTTGAAGTCCATCGAAAGAAAAAGAAAAATCTGATCGAAACGCACAGCGCCACCGGTGATGCCTGGCTCTAAAACCCGAAACGCCTTGACCTACTACCCATTTTTTTTGATCAGGGAGCCTCGAAGTAAACGGCCACCATTGCAACTTTCATCGGCACAGCGGCGGCTAGCGATCTTGCAACACGTGTTACAAGACTGCCATGAGAAGACGGCCGTATAACGGCAGGACTGTCGCTCGAATTTGCGCAGTCCCGGAGGTCCACGACGTCGGTGATCTGGAAGACAATCAGGTAGCCAGGTCAGGTATGATTTCGTGCCCAACAAAATCAACCTGGTGTCACGGGGACTGGGTTCGTCTTCAGACAGCATAGCCAGACATTTTTAAACAGGGCACATCATGCCGTGGAAGGAGCTTATCCGCCGATACGGTCATTTTCTGATTATCAAGCATGCCAAGGAGCCCATTCTGGGATTTGTGGTTCCCACTGACTCCATTTTTCTTTTATTTGTCTCACAGCTCCCCAAGCACCCATCCCCCTTTGGGAAAGATACAACAGCAACAGTTAAGACGGCAGACAATCCGTTTATTTCTGTAGTAGTGAGAGGGGGATCCTACTTTCTAAATATTCCCATATCACCCCCCTCCCAAGTTAAAAAACACCATTCCCTCTACCACATCCAAAAATTCTCTGCCGTTTTCATCTCATACTCCCCCATCGCTCTCAGGAACTCGACCCCATTCCTCTGTGGGGGAATTTCTATCTTAAATCGAGTGCTGCCTAAGGACCCAGGCGTGGGCTTCCGATGGCCTAGATGTCACGTTTACTGAATGAAGCGATGCCTGGCTGCAGTGAAAGTGTAGTATGCTTCACATTAGCGGCAGCTCCAAGATCGCTTAAGGAGCTCTACTGCAGTGCTGCAGTTAAGATTAACCATATATGTACCGCATTATTATTCTATTTGACAGGATATTGCATAGATTGTCATTAAAGAACTATACCTTTATGGTGTCTCTTGGCGCCAACCAACGGGAACGACGCAAACACGCTGCAGTAGGCCACTGTAAGGATTATGTATGGTTAAAGTTACTCTTTTAGATGTTAACTCTGATGCTTTACTGTTCTTGAAAAATCCATGCATGAATGCGAAATGTCTAACTCACCATCATATGTAGGCAGTGCAAACGGTGGCAGCATCATTTGTGGTGGTTGATAGTACGGTGGCGGTTGGTAGGATGGCGGTTGATATGAAGGTTGATCATAGCTGAACTTGTCAGTCGAGGACCATTTTAAGATTTATGAGAGACCAAAACAACGACTCTTAAGCAAACGTATCCACCATCAATCCAGGCTCCAGAAGTTCTTTAATTCTTTATTTACTTAATTCTTTAATTATTAGAATAGTCACAGGTCGGAGAATTTTCTAGGGGAACGAGGTGATGCATGTCTGGGCATAGTACATTTAGCGCCGTTGTCGTTGTTTGTTATAG